TTGATTTAGTAGGCGGGTTGAGAAATGGGGGGGGGGTATTGGATGTGAGGTCTGGGGTAAGAAGGTGCTTTCGGTTTTTGTGGGTGTGGTTTGTGGTAGGGTGGTGGATGTGGTAAGTGCTTTTGGGGTTGTATCAGGAAGGTCGGTTTTATTAGCTTCTTAGAGACCTGGGGTAAACGCATAGGGGTGGTATATAAGCCTAAACCCTAAACTTTCCTAAACCCTAAACCCTAAACTTTCCTAAACCCTAAACCCTAAACTTTCCTAAACCCTAAACCCTAAACTTTCCTAAACCCTACACCTGCAGGATGTGAGATCTGGGGTCAGCAGCATCACTTAGGGGCGGTGGCCCCGGTGGACAGGTCGGACGTATCGTTCGGGGCATATCCCGATGCTTCTGAGGGCAGAGGATGAGATGACGATGAACCGTGCACCCGAATGTAGGGGCCTTAGTAACTAGAATAGGGTTTCGGGGTAGATTATACTATAATTATAAAATGTAAAAAGCAGCCTCTAAAATAGTATAGGTGATTGTTAAAGGCCCCGATATTACAAGCATACATATATATATATATATATATTTATTTATTTATTTATCTCCTCAACTAGAAAACCTCTGAACGCCTCGAAACATAACCCTGACCCGCCAAAGCCCCCAAACTCTCTCAACGCTCATAAAACCCGTATGATATTTTTTTGTCGCCACCTGTGTAGGAAACCTTATCAGAACCCTTCTGTCTCTAGGGGATCCTTAAAGTGAGGAGCTCTTCCCCTCTAAGGTCGCGGCATAGGCCAGGTTGGCATTTGCTGCCTCAGAGCTGCTAGACGCGTACTCCGCGCCACCTCATGTGCTTGAGCTGAGGGTTCCCTAACCCCCCAGGTACCTACTATATAGGGCCCTAGGGGATCTAGTACCCTATATAGTAGGTACCTGGGAGATTAGGTGTTTTTATCGTTTGGGGCTTCGGGGTTTAGGGGTGTAGAGGTTGTGAGTTTAAAAGGCTTAGAGGCTTTGGGGCTTAGGGTTTTGGAGATTTCAAGGCTTAGGCTTCGAAAGTTAAGGGTGTTTCGAAGTTTGGGGGTTTAGGATGCAGGGTTTAGCCTTGGGGGTGGTTGGAGTTAAGAACTCAGCCTACAAGGGCTTGGCGCTTAGAGCTCACGGGAAGGGGCTTAGGGCTTACGGACTTGGGTTGCAGAAGGGTTTAGGGTTTAGGGTTCAGGGTTTAGGGTTTAGGGTTCAGGGTTTAGAGTTTAGGGGCTTTTGGTTGACGACTCAGGGTTTGAGCTAGGCTTTAAGGATTTCGAGTTTAGGCACTTCGGGGTTTGCCCGCATTCTGTTGATTCTATGTTAAGGAACCTAAACTATGGGAACTATGGTATGTGCCATATGATGGGGTAATGCAGGATTTCTATCATCCACCGTGTGGCCAAGCTTTCGCTTCCGGGCCCAAAGAGTTTCAAGTTGCAAGGACACGGACAAGACCTAAGGAGCTCGACTCTAGATTGCAACACAATTAGGGTTTAGGGTTTAGGGTTTAGGGTTTAGGGTGCAAGCTCATACAAACCGAGTGCCTTATCCGTATCGGAACCCTGAACCCTGATCCCTCAACTCTCAACCCCAAACCCTGAACCCCAAACCCTGAACCCGAAACACCAAACCCTAAACCAAAACCCTGAACCCTAAACCCTGAACCCTAAACCCCAAACCCCAAACCCTGAACCCTAAACACCAAACCCTGAACCCCAAACCCTGAACCCTAAACTCCGAACCCTCAACCCTAAACCCCAAACAATAAACCCCAAACCCTGAACCCTAAACCCTGAACCCTAAACCCCAAACCCTGAACCCCAAACACCAAACCCTGAACCCCAAACCCTGAACCCTAAACTCCGAACCCTCAACCCTAAACCCCAAACCCTGGACCCTAAACCCCAAACCCTGAACCCTAAACCCTGAACCCTAAACCCTGTAAGTGCCCCAAGAACCTCATCCGCAAAAACCTCTGTCGGAGACCTGCCTGCGTGCATCGCCCGATCGTAAGCCCTAGAGGCCATGTTCTCAGGACGCGCCTGGACGGGTGTAGGGTGTAGGATTTAGGGTTTAGGGCCGTTTAGGGTTTAGGGTGTAGGATTTAGGGTTTGGGTTTAAGGTTTATGCAAGACGTCTCTCGAACATTTTGAACAATCTCTCCGGCAGAGGAACTAGCACGGCCTCGGTTGGGCACCTCAGCAGACGGGCCTTTAGGGTTTAGGGCCTTTAGGGTTTAGGGCTTAGGGCCTTTAGGGTTTAGGGCCTTTAGGGTTTAGGGTGTAGGGCTCGAATCTGAGCGGGGAAGCCCGAGGGTTGCCGCGCGAGGTTCTGCAAGGGTTCTTCCACTGTCTATCAGGAGTCGAGAAGAGTAGGGTTTAGGGTTTAGGGAGAAGAGTCTGTCAGGGTTCTGTAAGGTCTTTATAAAGAGTTCTGTGAGGTTTTTTTTATAAGGTTCCCTTTGGCTGAGGGTATAGAAGGGCCCTCTCAGGGTTCTATGCGAGCCCTTCAATGTTGCAAGGTCCGAGAGGCCCTGCCTCGGGATGGCGAATCAAGTGGTGCTCGGCCTCGGTGATCACTCGGTACGCCTTCAGGGCAAAACGCGGAAGGAGAATATCACACCGTGTATGTACACAAGTGAAAATGAACAAACATGTATACATATATATATATATATATCCACCCCCACTAACGAATCCTGGCTTCGTATGTTCTCTCACATGAAGTCTTTGCGGCACATTCTTCTGGAAAACTACTTCAGTGAAGCAACAGGGGGGGGGTTACCACATGCATACACATACACACATACATTATGTGTGTACCTTTACATATATACATCTCTCTCTACCCGTCATGCATGCGTGCATGCAAGGGGTTGTAACTGTATTTCGTTGGCGTCGCTTCAGAAAAAAGACAACTAAGATTTTCGCACAGCTTTTGCCGCTTTGAAACGTTTAGAACATCTTGGCTATGAACATACCTGTATGCATGCAACACATGCTTACTTACCTGCACGTGTGTACGTGTGTATATACACATGTATATACATGTAGTTGTATATGTATATGATTATGGTGACATGCACTCTGCCCTCCACTAGCTCATGTGAGTAAGCCCTACACTCCTAGAATGCGACGGCATACTATGTCTGTACACAGCATTGCGACTGTCCACCACTACGAGTTGCTTGGTGGTATGCTGCTGGTTTTGCACCTCAAAGTGCTAGTTTGTGCATAAGAAGCTTGCTGTGGTGCGGAGGGTTGTTTCTGAAAGAGGGAATCGGACATACCGATGCGAGCGGTTTCCTTCTTCTGACACCAAGCTTGACTTAGCAAGATTTAGACTTCTGTTCCATAGCGGCTACCATCAGGAAACCGACCCAAAAACGAGGGACACACAGGAAACGCAGGAAACCCGAAACCCAACAATCGTGCACAATACACCCTAAACCCAAAACCCTAAGCCCTACACCCCCACACCTTAAACCCTAAACCCTAAACCCCCCTAAACCCTAAACCCGAAACCGTTTAAACCCTTAAGCCTCCCAAAAAGATGGCATCCCTCGTCTGCGCCCGAGGCCTCATTGGTGCCAGCCAGGCCGTCCTGGATTGCCGGCTCTTCTGAAAGAAAGGTTTAGGGTTTAGGGTT